AGATATGATAGCGATAAAATTTTTCTATCATAACTTATTTTTCTTCAAATTATTCGGTATATCAGCAAAATCTATTTTACTGATAGAATAGATGAATTTTATTGAGTACATTTCTAATAAATGTATTTTGCTAAAATGCAGTAAAATTGTCGCTGCCAATACAAATTTTGATAGCAAAGTAAAAATCAATTTGTTATAATAGCGATATAATTTGCAGATTTAGCAAAAATTATTTGCAGCAAATAAAATTAACATCCGTAACAAATCTCTTTGCTATCCATATATAATAACTAACAAGTTTTATTATAATTTTATTGACGTGAAATTTACTGTGTTAGCAAATTCTTTTTTTCCGTATAAAATAAACGTTTTTATGACATTGAGAATCACTATGAGCAATGCGAAAAATGCTATCAGATTAAATTATTTATCAGTTAACATCAAGCAGATAGTGTGTGGAACATTCGAGTGACATGACATTAAACTGTAGTATTAGTTGATGGTAGCGTTTGAAACTAGCCTTAAATTGGTAATGAATGGAAGAGATCGTATATAGGTCGCAGCAAATAAAATGTTATGCATATTGTATGCATGTTATGCATGTTGTGTCGATGCTGCGCTCTGCTCAAATTATCGGGCACTACTATAAATATTCTAATTATCAATGCGAAAACATACTTCAATTACTTCGAGAGAAAAATGGCCGCGATTACATTATGGAAACAAGCGGTTCTCAAAGAGATAATAGTAACTCGTATCGCTCACGCAAAAAAATATATTCAAATGTAATAAATTTTGTCAATGTTGATAAAGGAGTCAGAAATCAAACAGAAACACAATTCTTACCCAATAATATAAGCAAATCACACGCGCACTTTCGGATTCCGATAGAGTTACTAAAAATTAAAAAATCAAAAGAACGTATGTAATTTATTTCTGTGTAAATTTTTTGAATATAGAGAAATGATACGACTGGCCTAGATGGACACTACAACGTAGCAACGGGCGAGGAAGACATCAGCCAATTGGGAATTATAAGAAAATGGAATCATAAAGACACAACAAAGTTTTACAAAAGTCCTTGCAACATTGTCGAAGGCAGCGCGGGTGAATTTTGGTCACCCGGTAGGACGAAAGATGACATTGCTTTGTTCAGTTCAGACTTATGCCGGTTCGTAAAAAATGTTATCAAATTTATGAAATAGAACAAAGTATGATGCTTTACGCACTAACAATAACAACTGATAAGAAGTGATAAAGACTTAAATTTAAAAACTTAAAATTAGAAATTTAAACGTAGATTAGTCGTAATAATTATTTTGTATAATTAATACTGTAATTTTATGTCTATCTTATTTGTGATAGTTTCGCGAGACACAAGCAAAATGTTTATTTAATTTTAAGTTGTTGTGTTAATATTCTCTAATCTGTTTGACACCGTTTGCATACTTATTATCAATTTAAAAACTATTTCAAGTAATTGCGCAGAAGTTTATCAACGCATTGCACAATAAACTCGTGACCTCATGTGTGTTCTAGTCCGTTAATATACGAATATGAAGAAACAGTATCTTATTTGGGTATGGAGGGTTATCGATACACTCTTGACAAGAAGACTCTCGAAAATGACACGAGACGACGTTATCCTCACGAGCAGGCGAAATATTTTGAACCTACTACAACCACCGAGGACTTTTTCGCGACAGATTCGGCCGAGATGATGGGAATTACAACTCCCGGAAGTGTCTCTAGTAGCGATAATATATCTGAGAACACAGACGAGTATCGCGACGATGATCCGGATATTATTAACATGGGTCATTGCTACTGCAATGGGGAGTGTATGCCGTCGGGTTTAATGAACGTGACTGAGTGCCGCTATGGCGCGCCGGTCTTCGTAAGTTTGCCTCACTTTTACAAGAGTGATCCCAGCCTTCTCAACCAAATCGAAGGACTGAGCCCTAATGACAAAGACCACAGTTTCTCCATTACTCTAGAGCCCGTAAGTGACTTCTAACGAATTATCAGCAGGACGGTACAATAAATTTATCGTCATAAAAATAACAACGGTCCATCAAAATTTTGCGCTATTGACAAGATATTAATTTTACTATCACCATCCGAGTTACGGAAGATGTGGCTACCACGATAATATTGAAATTTGAAACAATATCGTTGTCATGAAATTTCGTATTCATAACATTGTTAAGATTTCTGTAAATCAATGCGTTTAAATTTCAGAACACGGGAGTTCCTTTAGAAGTAACAGCCAGATTACAAATTAATATTCTTCTACATCCATCAGAGACTATTTCGTAAGTACATTTCAAACAATAAAAAATAATTCTTTAAATCTTTAAAAGAAAGATGGTGCATTAAACTTATTAATAATTAAGATATTCGATTGAATTGAAAAAAGAAATTATTTTTCAGGCTCTTCTACAATGTGCCAAAAATCTACTTGCCTATGTTTTGGTTCAGCTTCAAAGGACAAGTACATGAAGAAATGGCATCTGATTTGAGGAAATTATTAATACTTCCAACTGTGATGCTTTGTACCGGCATAGCTATAGCTGTCATTGGATTATGTTTAATTGGCATTGTAGCTCTACTGTTCCTCAAAAAGAAACGACGTGTACCTGTAACGGTACGTAAATTTAATTTTTTACAATCCTTGTTGCAATCGAAAAGAGAATATTTTGGAGTTATTGCAATCAATACGCATTTTACAGGAACCTCCGGCGGAAAAGGAAGTCGAAGAATCTTCCGAGAAGAAAACAGAAATGGTATATTTAGATAAAGTAAGCAGTGAGGACTCTAACGCCAGAAGCGATCGCCGTTTGTATGCAAAACTTTATTAAACGTTTTTCCGAAGAACTTCGTTTTCTAACAAACGGTGTAGGAAATAAAAATGTGCAATTGTGGACCGAATTTAACACGTACACGCGATTTAAAAGCGTAATCTAAGTGAATTTTCATGTGTCTCAGTTCGAAACTGAATTAAAGCGACTGGACACTGTCCTAAAATATAAATCTTTAGCAAAATGTAAACAACATGTTAATAGAACGTATACATATGCATATAATCATAAGCATTTCAAATTTTCTTGAACGCGTAATGTAAATGCGTAAACAATTTATATAAGTTATAAACTGCAAAAACCACGACTATATATGTTTCTGTGCCATATCATTATGTTTACTCTATTGAAGTAGTTGGAGTGCATAAATCAAACTGACTTGCGTCACTATTTATACATTTATATAATACGTCACTAATATTACGTAAGAAAATAATACTTGAGCTCGATAAAAATAGTAATTTCATATGCATAAACATATTATACAAATGTTATGCAATCTTTTTATCACTAAGCAATGGTTTTCTAATTTTTAAAATTGCATTAAGATATAACTTTTGCTACATAAGTAAAAGTATCGCAACAAATATGCGAGTAAATGTACAGTATAATTATTTAAGCAATGATTATATGCATAGTATAGTTTTTATAACAAAAATATAGTAAAAAATTTCTACTTTGAATTCTCGAGATTTTCCTCGTGTCACGGACGATGGATTCTAGATTCATTGTGATTATTACATTCCTGCATAACGTACGATGTAAATCAAATGATATTATTGTGTTAATGAAGTCAACTTGGTATACTAAGACTAACGATGATTATAGCAAATCTTTAATCATTTCCTTTTCTTTATATAACAATTTTTAAACGCATACTTAGTTGAAATACATTGAGATTCGTTATTCAAAGAGAAGTAAATTGAATTCCATTTACAACTTAATTATTCTAATTATCTATTTTACCATGACATCAGAAATATAATTACCTTATTTACATATTGCATTAAACAAGTTAACTCACACGAATAATAGCAAAAAAATCATTAACACGGTAATTGAATACAATTGATTAAAAGAACAAGTACAAAAATTTTCTAGAATAACAAGCAAACAACATTGCAACGAAACCGAATTTATTTTTTGTTTGAATTCTGGTGAAATGTAGATGTTACATCTGTTGAATTGTTTAGACTTGATTGAGGAGCATAAGATTTGTACACAACGAACCTTATCAATATTTAAGTATGTAGATCTTAAATATATTAAGATATAGGAAATATATATATGTAATGTGCTATTCTTGTATGGCAAAGTGTGCCTTGATATTATAAACTGTTATCGTGCAGGTTTGATGTGCTACTCGAATTATGTGCTATGGAACGTGGCATAATTCCTCTCAAATAATGTTTAAAATTAATGTAAAATTATACTTTGAAATTATCTAGAATTAATAGGAGTATACAAAAGTTTCCATTGCTCATGTATTGATAGATCACTGCGAAAACAAAGCGCGGTTGCTTGAAAGATAGCAAAAAGCGGTAGTTAATATCTTAAAAGCCGGAAAATACCTTAAATCAAAATATTGTATTATTTATAAAATATTACTAAAGAAAATTGCCTTGAAAACTTTTGTATACCTCTAATAGTAAAATCCGCCGATCTTCCTTAGGTATTCCTTTGTTATGTTATTATTTAGTGCAGCACGAACCGCTGCTCAGAATTAAGTTATTGTGCCAACTTTTTGTTACGATGCCTCAAGTTGTATGACAGAATTTGTGATATACTCGGAGTTAATTTACTTGTATTGTATAAAAAACAACCATTTACAATTGCCAATGACATTTAGGCTAAGCATTAAGTATTCAATACGAAATCATATCGAATACTCCAAGCAAATCCAGATGTTACCAATCCTAGCGTGACTATATTGTATAAGTTCAATCGATAATATGTAAAAATTTATTATATGTATATTTTATACCCAAATATGAATACGTTGATAGTGGTGAGCGAGCAAAATCGTACGATTTTGTATTGTATTTGAATAAAAAAATCCATTGTTTTTATAATACTATCGATTTGGTATATTATTACATTTCATATAATAAAAAATTTTGAAGTACAAATTATTTTTTATTCAGTAAACGAATAATTTATTTAAATTTTTCCTATATTTTCTTGATTATGAATCGTGAAATAATTCAAATTTCTCGTCTTCTCTTATCATCGTTTGGTAATGGTCTCGCTAATCACTATCATCTACTGTTAATGCGAATTACTATGTTATCAAGATGATTGCTTTTAAAGTATTGAACATTTTCAGTTATTATTATAAAAGCGCTACAACTTTGTTATAAATGAATAAAAAAAGCGATATGCGTTTTTCGTCTAAATGTGCAAAATGATAATTGCATATAAAAAATATGAAAGTTTATTATGACGCACACTTGTCCGCGCCATCACACGATAACATCATTAGCGAACTTATATAACCGTGACTTGTACAGTTCCAATCGAACTGGCAGATTCGTCGCAGCATGCACAAGTAAGACTACATTAATAATCACTGTACATATTAAACAGCATAGAAAACAAATAAGAAAAATCGAAATATGACAATAACGGGCCTGTTCATTAAAATGCCAATTTGATAAAGAACACATGGAGCATTATCGTACTATATATATTATTGATCAGTGCAAGTCTCGTGACGGCGAATATGTTGTTTTTGCTTGTCTCTTAAGGTCAGATCTAAAGAGGAGCTGCTGCAAAATTCATTTATGCGCGATCACATCGAAGTGACCACCGGAATGAGCAACAGCGCAAACGCTTGTTTATCTAAATTTGAAATAGCTTTTACATTTAACATAATTTTTTTCTAGTTTTTCTTTCTTTTGTTTTCCCCAAAATAATGTATTTAAACATTAAACGCATATTTGTAGTGTAAAATGTATATAAGATGACTGCTGAATCACTCAACATGTTTATATCTCCGCAAAGACGGATGTACGTGTAAAAATGTTATTTGTCATTCTATTCTGATAAGCCTTTGTAACTTCATGTGATACTACAAACTCTAACTTATAATCTCCCAGTATAACTCAAAGAATGCTTTAACAAAAGTTAATGTATTTAAACATTGAACGCATATTTGTAGTGTAAAATGTTCATAAGACGACGGCTGAATCACTCAACATGTTTATATCTCCACAAAGACGGATGTACCTGTAAAAATGTTATTTGACATTCTATTCTGATAAGCCTTTGTAACTTTATGTAATCCTACCAATTCAATCTTATAATCTCCCAGTATAACTCAAAGAATGCTTTAACAAAAGTTATGAACAGAAACAGTTTCTCTACATTTATGCTTTATATAGACACATTGTCCATAAACGCGTACAAGTTAATATATATATATATATATATATATTAACTTGTACGCGTTTATATATTGTAAATCATGAAACGTATCGCCTAAAAATAATATAACAGATGATAAAAAAATATCAGCAAGGACTCGTATGCACGTTCCATTACGAATGATGCTATCTGCTTCTGTCTTGTGAAAATACTTGTAACGAATGGCAATAGAGTAACTTCTTTCATCAATATATTCAATTTCCGATGCGCGACAAAATATGCGCGCGTGTATGAGACAAAGCGTATAGAAGGAAACGCAGTAGTGACAGTAGAATATAAGCGACATTGCGTACAAGAATTGCAATACTTACGCGTGCGGATACTTTTCTTTTATTCTTTTTTCACGACGCGAGCTAAGCTGCTTACCGCGCGAATCGGGCGCATGTAACGCGAGCGAACTGAAATCACATATTTAAAGCGGCGCATACGCAATTGTTGACTTTTGAATGTTGAATACCCAAACAAGCCGCTAAACAAACACGCTGCTTGCTGTCGAGAATTGCAATGGTTGAAGCGAAATAGAGGAATTTTAGGAGAGAAATAAGATCGGATTTGATCACGCGCAATGTGGCGAATATCAATGATGAATGGTATCGCACGCGAATCATGGATGAGTAAAAACAGACATTTCTATACATTTAGAGAGCCACTTTGCGAAACGCGTTTTAAATTGTTAACAATATTTAATCTCTTCGCATTTACGCGTAATAAAACGAGAAAGTATTTTCACGAGAAGAGTTAAAATATTGCTTTATGACTTTCGCCGTGATAACATAGATAAAGATATAATATTATATTTATGCTAATATAACATGTGCTTTCCGTTCATGGCCAAAAATTTCTCGCGCACGAGTGCCTCGTGCCAGATAAAAGATTAGAAGATATGGAAATAAAAATTCACAAGAAATGTTTCAATTTTCTTAGAATCTTAAATCGATAAATTTACTCTACCTCTGCTTGAAATTTGCGAAAGATTGCTCGAGAACGCAGGGATTTGCTATTGATCGAATGTTCGACTTCCCTGAATTCAGCTGCGCTCTTTGTTTTTCCGCACCGGCGAGTGAAATCTACAATGGCATTAGCATACGGACGAAAATTGGAACACCTAATTGTCACGTCTGTCGCGCCCGAACGCAGAACGCTTTTTAAAGCGGATGTACTTGAGCGAGCGTCTCGGAATGACGCAGATAGATTTCGAGCCAGAGGTTGTCAACGAATAAAGAATAGATAGCATTCGCTATTGTCTCGCAGAAATACAGGGTGCGGCGAAAGTACCTTTATTATTTTAAAAGATTATAATTTGATTGTTTATGAATATTTTCTAATTTTTATTTTTTTACTGCAAAGATAAAATTTGGAGATTTAATTATGAAAAGGTACACAATAGCCGAACGAACCAAAATTGTAACTTTGTTCTGAGACAATACTTTCCAAATCGCAAAAAATCGCAAAAAAAACAGCGATTTGAGTTGATCACCTCGATCACCTGATTTGAACGCACCTGACTTTTTCCTGTGGGAGAAAAGGTCTAGTAGGGAACGGAAAGTTTCCAAATAAAACTATTCAGAATACGTTTCCTACCTCAAAGAAAAAGTTTATGTTAAGCCTCAAACCTTACAAGAGCTAAAAGCAAATATTCGAGAAAAAATTTCTTTAATAATACCTACAAAACATGAGATGGAGAACAACCAGATAAGGAGAACGTATTTTTTCTTCAACTATAATGACTCACACTTACAAGACATAATTTTTCACACGTAATGTAAAAAAATAACAAAGAATTAACTTTTACTTTTAATCTTACTTTCCTTTTATTTCGTTCATAAGTTACAGCAAAATTTTATCTTAGAGATACTTTTGCCATATCCTGTACCAATTTTTCTAATCTAACGTATGTGCCTCATCACGGCGTTGGAAATGACGTCTTAAAACATTTCGAGCCAGAATTTGCTAAGGAATAAAAAATAGATAGCGTTCGCTATTGTTTCGTGGAAATATCAATTTTTCTAACGAACCCCATCACGGCATTGATGATCAAGACGCCCTAAGACATTTGGACATACACGCTAGCAGATCTTTATCAGAAAGTACAAACAACTACCTACGTTCAGGAAAAATTTGAACATTTCTTTGTGCGCCTATCAGTCAGAAATTTTAATAATCTATGAGAAAGTACTTCTATCTATCTATTGTTTCAGAGAAATAATATAGAGAAATTTGAGAAAAATTTTGTTTGACAACTAGAAAAATGAAAAGCGCAGCAATCGTGTTCGAGATACTTCTAAGGTAAAATTTAAATGTTTTTCGTGATTGAAAGCATCCATCGGCTAATTAAAGATAACCATCGCGAATATTAAAAACTCTCGCAGTGATATCCTCAATCTATGCTGAGGAAGAAAAAAATATAACCGAGTAATGTGTCGCGTATCTTCTTTTAATTAAATATTAACTACGCCATCAGATCGCGTTATCAGATATGAAGAAAGAGTATACAATCAATGGCATAATGATTCATTATAAGAGTCGCATGAACTTTGAACACAAACTTACATGGCAACGAAATCGTTGAAGAGAGAAGCTTTCTAAGGAACGTGAGATGTCGGCTCTAAAAAGTACAAAAGGGCCGCAATTCCAACATTAAGTAAATAAGCAGCCCTTCTGCGAGAAAAAAAATCGCGTGACAGCGTTCCTGAAATTAACTCATTAACACAATTGACCCGTCATGCCATTTTACACACGTAAACAATAATTATGTTCGTACCTCTTGTGAACATAATTACATAGATAAGATTATTGCTACAAGAATGCCTAATTCTGAATTCATTATAGATGTTCCAAATAAATAAAATCAATATCAAAGTATCAAAGAGGCGCAAATTCATAAATATGTAAAAAGCAATTAAATATTTAATTAATTGTACCTAAATTACAATTGTATGCAATAAAGGGATAAACTTCTCTCCGTCAGAGGTAATTGTGAGTTTATTCTCAACAGCAAATAATAATAATTATTATGGCTTCTGAAAATGAAATATACATCAAGGTTCACTGAAGCATTTAATATATTGTATAATCAAACAATTACGATACGAACGCTTTGCGGAGTTTGATACTACAAAAGAGAGTAATTATTCATGAATTCAGCGAATCTGTCAGGAAGCGTCATCTTGCGAATTACTCTTGTCAGCGGGAGAAGATGATAAGATCCGTCGTTTTTTTTTTCCACTAAACGTTACACATCTGACACGTCGCATAAACTTGTCATATAATGCGATCAGATGAGTCAAGATAACGCTGAAGATGTTGAAATAATTTGACAACGGCTTAATGCCTAGAGAGATGTGATGTTTAATAATTATGCCTAGAAGAGATGACGCTCGTACAGCTAAACTGATTTTGCTAGAATTCAACGGTTCTCAAATTCGTCTACAGAAAATATTCCTTTACACGTAACGCCGCGAATGTTTGCCGAAATTTGAATAATTAAAACAATTGTAATAGATAAATAAAACAAAAAAAAATAAATCATTTTTTCAGTCACAATTATAGCAAATTTTTATTGTATAATATATAATAATTGAATGAAAAAATTCATTACTTTTACTATAATTTGAAACTAAAAAAGTTAATCGCTTTCTTCAACTATTTTTTTTTTAAGTAAAGTATTTTTTCAAAGAAATTTAAAAAAAAATCATAGTTTTATCGATGAGAAATTCTATAAGGATAGCGTTAGTCCCTTTAGTCGTCCCAAATCGTTAGGTCGTGTACCCTCGACAGATGTTTCACTGTGGCATGCAGGGAGTCAGGCAAACGACCCTCGTAGCCTGCATTTATAGTTCATTTGGGGATCCTGCGCCGAGCACATGTCAGGCACACAGAAAGTTCTATGTAAGACAATACGTTATAACAATATGAACTTTCTTCATGCTTATGACGCATTAAAGTGCTAGGTCTCATTTCTTCAAAAACCTCATCGAAACTATTTTAATCACGTATTGCGATTAAGAATACAATTAAGGGCTTTTAATAATTTAAAGTTTTGTTGAATTAATTAAACGTGTATCGATAAAACATCATGTCATGATTCGACAAATTACAGTTCGTCTTGTTTGATCGATTTCT